CCAGGCCACCCCAGGGCCAGACAGCCCAGGGCCAGGCAGCCCCCAGGGCCAGACAGCCCCAAGGCTTGGTGCTGCCCGCTGTCTCCACCACCTGCACCCTCCTAAGGTCAACCAGGACTTGGCTGGTGGAGGAGCCCTGCACCCCAGGGGCCAGGATGCTGGTACCCACCATGAGCGCGTCTTCACGGTTCCACATGAGGGAGAGACCAGCGCGGGAGTAGACCTTGGTGTAGGCCTCATTCTTCTCGATGAGCAGCCCAGAGCTGTAGTGTGGGGTGCTGACCCTGCGGGGGCACCACAAGTCACTTGCCAGCACCTGGCCCAGGGCCCACCCTTCTTGTCCTCTCCGGGTCCTGATGCCCAGAGGGCACTGAGGCTGGGTGCATGGTGGGAGATGGGGGATAGCTGCTGGCCTGGCCTCACACTGGGGCCACAAACAGACTTGGCCAGGCCCAGGGGGCACATGAGAACACCTCTTCTGGGCTGGCCAGGTTCCTTGGGGCAGGACCAACTCAGACTGCTCATCTCCTTTCACACTGTGGGCACTGTCCTGGGCAGGGCCCTCCCAGGAGCCCTGAGAGTGGGGGGAGAAGGAGGCCAGGCCACCCAACCCCCTTCCAGGCCCTCTCTCAGTCTGCCTGGGGCGGGGCTTCAGCCCCCACCCACCCAGCACCCTAGACAGTCTTGATGCTCTCGGGGACCTCCCCCCGGGCACCTGCCTCACCCAGGGGCCCTCCTGCTCTCCACCCACCATGACCCAGGCCGGGCAGGCCAGGCAGGGTAGGAGCTCAGCTAGAGTCTAGGGTAGGAAATAGAACCCCTGGGGCAGGAAGAGGGCAGGCCCGCAGGTGGGAACCCGCTGGACAGGAATGCATTTAAGAGGGCCTCATTGTCCCAGAGACAATGAGGGGACAATAGCTAGCCAGGGTGGGCAGCTCCTGAAACCCTACCCTGGGGAGCAGCTCTGGCAGCTCCAGGCTCCCCAGCCCAGGACCCCGGCCAGCTCCAAGGGAGGGACAGCTAGGGGCTCCCAGGGTGAAGACCCCTGTCAACCTTCAGGGGCCTCAGCAGTGTGTACGGAGGGAATTGTGACCCGAGTCCACCCTCAGGGCTTTCCCCGGGGCCACCAGCCGGGACTATCTAGACCACAGAGCCCTCCCCAGGCTACGGGGTGGGACGCTGCCCAAGCCCACTCACATGGCCCCATTCACCACAACCAGTTGGTGGGTGAGGTAGATGGTGTCATCCTTGATGGTCAGCAGGATGGACTCCACCTGGGCATGGCCCCCACCCTGGCCCTGGCTGCGCTTCAGGTGCACGGCAAATTCCTTGTAGGAGTCTCGGCAGTCGGAGGCGAAGTTGTAGTCACAGAGGCCGGGGAAGCGGAAGACGTCACCGTCGAAGGTCTTGTAGTGGAAGTCACCCCAGGTGCTGCAGACGCTGTGGCCATGGCTTCGGGGTCTGGCCTCTGTGGGGACCGTGGGGGCACGGGGTGAGCCACCCAGGCCCAGGGAGTTCTGCCCCAGTCCACCCCAAGCTGGCCCCAGAGGTAGCCATGTCCAGAAGGCCCCCCCACTGCAGGAGGACCTCTTAGGCCTGGGTCACGGCCGGGGTCTCAGCCCCAGGAGCACATCTCCAGCTGCCTGGCCTGGGGTGCGACCCAGCGGGCGGTGAGGGCCGAGGGACTGTCAGGCACCCTGGTCACTCTGTCCACCTGATGCAGAGCCCTGATGGAATGGAGGTTCCCTAGTCTTTTGGGCTGAAGTGACCCTTCACCAGGTGGACACAGCCCCTCTTCAGAGGTGCCGCCTAGGCCTTGACCCGCCAGGGCTGTCCTGGGACCCCACACTCCCCCACCTCGGAAGCACCCCTCAGGTGTTCTGCTGATCTTCCACTGGGCATGGGGTCCCCTGGGCCCCTCTGGCCAGGCTTTCGAGCTCAAAGGGACGGCAAGGGCCGCAACGATTCATCCAGGCAGGAGCTACTCTGGTTGTCCAGTGTACGCAGTCCAGCGGATGCAGGCAGAGGGGACCAGCCCACCCCCAGGCGCTGTGCCTGCTCCTGGATGCCTGCCTTCCTGTGCCAGCACTCTCTGCCCATCCCCTGCCCACCTCACCAGGCTTCTCACCTCTCTGGAGTGCAGAGCCTCCAGCCAAGGCCAGGGCCAGGCAGATGGCCACTAGGCGGGCCAGTTGCAGCCCCATGGCGGCTCTGAAGGGCACTGTGGGAGAGCACCCCGGCCTGGAGTCTGGGACTTATATGCCCCAGTGGGCCGTCAGAGGGCGGAGGGCAGGGGAGGGGCAGAGGGTGGGGGCGTTGGCCAGATTATCAAGAAAACAGCTGTGGGGGCTCGTGGAGACCACAGTGGGAAAATATTGATTCAGGTTATCTGCATTTATCTTTTTATGACTCCCTGGGCAAACTTGGCCTTCCTCAGGATGCAGCAGCCCAATTACCCAAATGCAGAACACACCCAGGGCGACCCTCCCACCCCTCCCAGCCACTAGCGGACCAGGCCCCAGGGGACAGGGTAGGGGCTTTCCCACCGGAAGCGTGTCCTGGCAGACTCTATGGGCCCACTCAGCCCACCAGACCACAGTCCAGTGCCCCCCCGCCAACAAAGTCCAGGATGAACAAGGGGCTTTGGAAGATCCATGACCAGCATTTACCAATCTCTTTCATTCCCGGGACCCCACTCCTCCCCAGGCAGTGTGGACTGAGATGGCCACAGGTCCCCAAAGAGCTCAGGCCTTTGTCACCCCAAGGCAGCCAAGCCCACCCATCAGGGGTCCAAACTTTGGGGAGCGGGCAGGACTTGGCCACCTGTACCTTCCCCGTGTGCAGGCAGCCTATGAGCTCCCGTGGGGCCTGGGGTCCACCCCGCTGCAGGGAGCTCTTCGCCTGGGTCAGAGCCCAGCTCTGTCCCCTCCCTAATCCCCCTGTTTTCCTAGCCTCAGCCAGTCTCTGGAATTACATGTAATTAGAACTTGAGGAGCACCAGTCCAGCCAGGGACACTTGCCGGAACCCGGTCCCCTGGAGCATGGAGGAACTGGCTCAGTGCCTGGAATGCCTGTCCCCGAAGGAAGGAGGCCCAGGTAGGGAGGGTGCCCCCGCAGCAGGCCCTGCCCTCGCAGACGCCCCCACCTGCTGCTGCTGCCCCTGGGGATGCATGAGGACGGGGCCTGGAGGGGCAACCTGCCCAGGCTCCCCTGGCCACACCTCATTCAAGGCAGTGGATCCTGCTCCAGGGAGAACAGTGGCCTCTGATGAACCTCAGGCTCTCTGAGCCCAGCCCAAAGCTGGACATTGGTGCCTGGAATCCCCCCAGGAACCGTGTGTAGCCCTTGAGCATATACCAGCCCCAAACCCAAACCCACCGAGGGTGCCGGCTCTCGAGGCCACACAGAGAGGGAGAGGCACCCACTGGCACCCCCCCTGGAGCAGGAGATAAACTAGAATCTGGAGTCCCTCCCCTCACTGCATTTTCATCCTCCTGAAAACAGAGACAATCCCGAATTTAGTTTCAGAGTTTAGCCGGAATGCTCACAGTGGGCTCAAGTCGGCCTCAGATGCCAGTCGGGGTCCTGAGGTCCAGAAACAGTGAGGAGGGATCCGTCTAATGGTCATGGAGGAACTGGATCAAGGGCACTGTGCCTCTTCCCCTGGCCACACTGCTGCCCTGGTCAAGGGCCACACAGGTGGTGACCTGGGCTAGAGGGGAGCCCTTGCTAGGGCCAGACTTTCTTCACCACCAGCGTCAGAGCCTGTGTTTTGATGCCACCTCACTCTCAGGCCTCTAGACCACTACAGGAAGGACCCTCAGGCCATAGGGACAAACAGGACTGGAGTCCTTGCACTCTAAGGATGTCAGGGGCAAAGAAGACCATTAGCCAGGGGCCTGGGAGGAAGCCCCTCATCTGGTCCCACTGTGCCCACTAGTTCTGGCCTGGGGTCCATCCTCTCAGCCAGGACTTGAGCACAGGGACGCTGAGTGTGTGGCCTGGGTAGGGATTAGGGAACTGAGCTGAACACTATTGTACCACTTCCCTGTTTAGGCTGCACATGCTGGCACCAAGCCCTGAGGGAACCCAAGGAGCAACCCACGAGGCAGTGATTTTCCATGCCAGGCTTTCTCTGCTTTGGTAGGGATTAGAGGAATTCTAGCCAGATAGGATGCTAAGCACAGCAGCCCCCTGCCTTTAGCTCCAAGAAGGTGGGTCCTTTCTGGATGAAAGGGAAATCCTCCTGATGGAGAATGTGGATACTCCCTGATGGAGAAGGTAGATCTTAGAGAGAAGATAGATCTTCCCTGGATAAAGAATGTGAGATCCTCCCTGATGAGAAAGGTGGGTTCTGCCTGATGGAGAAGGTGGGTCCTCCCTAATGATGAAGATGGGTCCTCCCTGATGAAGAAGGGGGTCTTCTCTATACAGGGTCCTCCCTGTATAGACAAGGTGGTTCCTCCCTGTATAGAGAAGGTAGTCCTCCCTGATGGAGAAGTTGGGTCCTTCTTGATGGAGAAGGTGGTCCTCGCTGACGGAGAAGGTGGTTCCTCCCTGGTGGAGAAGGTGGGTCCTCCCTGTATAAAGAATGTAGTCCTCCCTGATGAGAAGGTGGATCCTCTGATGGAGAAGGTGGTTCCTCTCTGATGGAGAAGGTGGGTCCTCCCTGATGGAGAAGGTGGTTCCTCCCTGATGGAGAAGGTGGGTCCTCC